TTGGTTTGTGTGTTGTGTTCTGACTTGTGAGAATGATGATGATGAATAATACTATGCAATTTATGTTGTTGTTGTGTATTTTATACCATCCTCGTCGGTGCTAACGCCGTTACTTGACACCGTCTCTTATTAGTGCTCCACTATTAACATTTGTATTTGTTAACTCCAAAAATTGGGTTTACTAGACAATAATTTTTATAGACTTCCTCACGAATGATTTGAAGGAAAAGAAAACTAATTTATATATACTAATATTAATATGCTTTTAATTAAGTATACGTTGGGTTGGTAAATAAAACACGAAATCGTATACCTGTTGATGTTTTGCATCTTTGAATGATTTTTTTTTTTTTAAATAAAAGTTTTTCTTCATCTTTGAATGATTGTTCAACTAATTTCACTAGCAAACTTATAGAGTTCACCAAACAAGGAGTTTGTGAAAATGATTTCAAATTTCCTTGATCGATATATCGATTGGTACAAAGTTTATATATAGACTTGTATTAACCATGTCAATCAAACATAAACAAACATCACGAACTAATCTTATCGGACTATTAAACCAGTATATACATTTTGATACAAACCCAACAATAATATTGAATCTACACACATTATTTGTTGGTTTAGAAACATGATTAATACTCAAGTTCATCTTTTTTTTTTTTTACTTGTATAGAGAAATCCATTTACATTTTGAGAAGTATAATGTGTATTTGTATATTAGAGTCTTCACCAACATCATCATAACAAAATCACCAAACTACAAGGATTTGTTCTAATCGTAATATTTTAATTTAATTAAGATTAGCTTTCATGCAAGTGTGGCTGTGTGGGGCAAGTTTTTTTTGGCAATTATGCAAATTTTCTTCTATTAAATGTGAATAATCAGACAATCATTAAGATAGCACAAAGGGACAAGATATCAAACTTATATTTCCAAACTCCATTTTAAGTTTGGCGCCTACAACTATAGTATTTTTGTGCAACTAGTCAAAGTACATCTGTAATATCTTGTTTATTTACAATCTTGTT